AAAATGCAACAGTGCAAAAGTATTTGAAAGCCCTTAGAAATTGTTGGATGTACATCATGCTTCACCCACGACAAATCTTGGCCACAGAAATGGAAAGCATTAGCAAAACATTAAAACAAAGCTGGAAACTGCTGATTATCAGTTTGCCACTGTCTTCAGATTTAATGCAGTACTTGGCTCAAAAAGTTCTTTAAAAATCCCCAATATAAGTGAAAATATTTACAAAATAGAATGTCTCTCACTTAATGCCTATTGGGCAATAGTCTTAAAACTCCACAGACACTTGTAAATCTGTCAAAAGAATCATGGCCCATAAACAAACTTTCATGTAAAGAGCATTTCAATGTCAATCAGACACGATTTGGAATTTTTTAAGCACCATTTTTAAAGTAAACGCAAACCCAGAAATAGTTTAACGTTGACAACAGTAAATTACTAACTATTTACTCACCAGAATGCACCAGTAGCAGTTACAGGAATCAGCCTGACAGCAAAACCAAGTATCAACACCATGAATTCCTATAAACCTGTCACTGACACTATCCCCGATGAGTTATGCCTCTGTGAAAGCTGCTAAACCTCCCCCGTGCCTGTCTGTTCAGAGCATGGCAGGTTATTCTGCCAAGCTTGCTCTTTTATTTTGTTATAAGGCAGGCATATCTTTGACAGAAGGCTCAAAGAATTTGCTAATTCTTTTTTAGATCTCTYACCTTTTCTGTTTCCAAGAGCATTTGAAACCATACTGCAAATGAATTCAATGCAGTGCTAAAYAACCCCAAATTTCTGTATGAGAGAATCCATGATCTTTTACTGCAGAGACCTGTTACATTGCTTGGATCTATGCACGCAAATAAAAACGTAATAAACCTTAGATAAAAAGCATAAATTTATATTATTCAGCAAGTGCTATATAATTTTCTTACAATTTTGTTCCTTTGGTTTTGCTTTATTAGATTTTCTTGCTTGAGGACAACTTTGCAAGCTAAACAAGTAGTTACAGGACATGCATGTTTAGCCAGTGGACACTGCTGCACGATCTGYATATTCTCTTGTTATTACATGCACTTAGGCACCTACTCATTGGAGCTGGTCACATGATATTTTTAGTTTAATACATTTTTGCACTATCTACAGTTTTTGCACTTATTTATAAACTTGCATCTTTCTTTTCAGATAGAATTTTAAATGCACAGAAGGGAAGAGATTGATCCTGATTCCTCAGGAGCATGATAAGAATTAAAAAAACATCCAACTACAAGAAGTTATACTGCTGCTGCCTCAGAAAAGTTTCAGAGTTGGTATTTTCTTTGCCCTTTTGGACACATATTGATAATCTGTACACACGTCCATAAAAGCAACACAAAAACATTCAAGCACTAACACCAAAGCCAGAGCTGGACTGACTAATACAGAAGCCTTTGAACAACGCAGAGACAGAAACGCCGTGAAGGGGATGGGAGGTTTTCTGAGACAAAACTACCTTAGAAAAATGTAAAAGGGCATCAGACTGTGGTAGCATGCTATTCTTGAGCTTTGTTTTTATTGTCTTAAAAAAGGTCTATATTTTAATGCAAAAAAGGGTTAGCACACATAAAACTAAATAAACCATTCTAACCTTTTAATTGCTTGTACAGCTACTGTCTGTGAAGATATTTTCAGCTAATTTAGAAGAAGAAATGTGCTTCTACATACATTCACCTTCTTCACACATTAGTAATTCCTTTTTCTYAAAAAGAAATTCAGAGGATAGAAGACAGTAAGTAAAAAGCCCAATCTTTGTCTGAAACACATTTCCTTGTGATACACAGAAATGATCATCTGTTTAGGTGCTCTGTCACATGAAAATGAGACATAAAAAACATTTCAGTGATAAGTCCTAAGTTGTGGAAAGTGAMATGACTGAATTACTGACATGCAAAATACTCTGTAAAGTTCACCTGCTCTGAAGCCAGGAGACAGACATCTTGACAATTCTCACAAGTTTGATCAGAAATTCTAGCTTTGACTTTTGAGTGGGCTTTGCTTGCTCATCTTAAGTTTAACATTTTGAACTTTAAAGAATTGGTAATACCATACACAAAAACTTTCAGGCCTATATTAGCCTCAACTAACATAAAAGAAAAATTCTTAGCTCCTTGTTTAGTGAAAGGGCATCAACTTTTTATATAAATCATTAAAAAAATCTTTCTGTTAGAACTGTTTCCCAAGAACACATTTAGCAAAATGAACAAAGACTACTAGTAAAGCTAAATATTTTTTTACACCATAGCAACATATCTGAGCCTCTGGTTAACGTATTCCTTCTGAAATGGTAGTTTACATTCAGCACACCGTTCAGCAGAGAGCACAATGCAAGGGACTGAACAGTACATATAAATGATTATAATTACTAAAGCCTCATAATTTTCCAGTCAAGTCTTTGGAAGGCTCCTTTAAGTGATTCCAGCACACATGATTAGGAGAAAATTTTTGTTAAATGTCAAGATTCAAACATACAGAACTCCACACATCATTAAGAACTGTCAAGAGTATAGAACTGTGAGCTAGCTAATCTGCCGAGAAACTGGAACATTTCTCTCCGAACAGCACAAAAAAAGAGAGTATCTTGAAACTGAAGAGTCTTGTCTGGGTAATGGAGATGGAGACAACATTTTTAAGAAGCAAGAATAATATTTTTATCAGATGAGCTAGGATTTTTACAGTGCTAAGAAAAAAAAAGACCTTTCAAACACTCAAACATTCTATCATTTAGCATTCTGAATAAGGGATCAGATAGAAGAGAATTGGGCAATGGCTGAAACAGTTTATGAGCTGAAATTTGTAGAAGCCAGAGAAGTGATCTCTTATTTTCCTCTCTACTGCTGGATCTCTCATTTTATGTGCAAGACAGATTGTAAAG